TTATCGGAAAAAGATTTGTTAAATAGATCAGTAAGAGGGTGACACAGAATATCAGAACATTTTAAAAAATAATACTAGGTACATAATCGGGACCTAAGCTCTGGGAAGGGTTTAGAGACTTGAGGCACTTTTGAACATCATTTGTGTTAAAACCTGGAAAGGGGCTATTATTAACACAAGTGATGCTGGGAAGCATGGCATTTGAGGAAGAGTAAATAAAAGATTTGTTAAGAGTACATACATCAAAAGAATATGGAATATTGTCAATCTGATTACCACCAGTGATTTGTTGGAAACTCTTTAGCACTACGTTCACAGGGCCCCATACACAGTGATGAGATTCAAGGCCTCTTGGTCATAAACTGATATTCCTCTTACCTTGGTTTCAACAAAATGTTGGTATAATTAGTCTCCATAGCAAAAAGAAGAAAGAGCTTATAAGGTTGAACTGCAGGCTGAAATCAGCTGAATGACAATCGATGATAACGGCGTGTCAGACACTTGTTTCGCTCCCTTTCTCTGCAATGCTTCAATCAAACAAAATCTCTACAAAACCAATACTTGAATATGCAATTAACAAACACGTTAATATACCAATTAGTAAAAGGAAAATCATGTGACGAGAAAGTTTAAAATCCAAGTCCCTAGAAAATGGTCAATACATGTGGAAAGATGGTTACCGGGAGACGCAATGGTATCACCACTCATGAAGAAATTTCAATCATTTCACTTTATGCTAAATATTGCGCTGAAAGGGGATGTTGTCCACCAGGGGGGACGACGAAAGCTCCGCAACTAAGCCAACCAGCTCAGAGAACACTATTAATTGCGAATCATCCACCTGAGCTACAAATCTTCTCTGTAACATTTACTAATTTTCTGAAAATAAGAATAGTGAAAACCAAGAATAATATTTTGATAGATTTTGATCGAAGTAATCTCTTATTTTATCGCATCTTAAGAAGTGTCACGTTTCTCTTACAGTCATTTATTCCGAAAGTAGGCGCTGATTTTCGTGTATTTGAAAGATTTCTAATATGCGTTAACTGCACATATGTAGGGGACTATTATTAGAGTTCACTAATATTAAAAATATGGAAATATAATCCAAGTCAATGAAATGTTAAATAACAATATATTACCAAAAATGCAGTGACGAGTTATACCAACAAAAGAGATTACTTGGATATAAAGTTTAGGTCCTCTGCTACAAATTACTTATGTAACCCACGGGTACGTTAATTGTTTGGGTTGCGTCTGCTGTAGCTGCTGTGTTTCAGTTGTAGAAAGGTCTTCGGTTGAGAGCAGTAGACTCCTACAATAAATCCGAAGCATACAACACGGTGTGAGCTGAGCGAGTAAGCAGAAATAACCAGAGAGAAGACGAAGTCTCCAACATCAAAGTGTATTTTCAATTGTCCACAGAAGTTATGTATATTTCAACAAGAAGCGATTTAAACAAAAATTATGTACAATATCTCTCATTTCTACAAATAACCAAAAAGTGTACAATCACATTGTTACGTACTGCACACATATCATCTCGCCTCTAACCTTTTTCTTCGGATTACTGTGTGAATTTTAGACAGTTGGAATGTAGTCCTGTGATGTCACTCAAAGATACATGCGTGAAAAAGTACTATGGATTCTGCAGAATGGATAATTACTAGACACTGGATAAATTATACAACTGAGAATATTCTGTATGGACAGATTCGTTACTCTAATCAAAACTGTCTCATAAACGAAGGAAGCAGTTACGGAAGTCGCAAAATATCTGTCTGTATATTTTGCATTTACCTCAGTCACGTCGAAGCCTTTCTGCTCACCGAAATAAGGGTTTCCTTAATTTCATGCTCTGATAATCATCCAACCTAATGACATAGTCTCACACTATGTCAGAAATGCAAATTTTATCTCAGAGGGTTATTTACTGCCTTTCAGAAGGAGATCATAGTTCCGTGGACAGTCAGTAATTTGCGGAATCACTGAATATATTTCATTGTTGACTAAACTAATCGTAATCTACAGTTGATAAATGTAAAGTACATCCTCTCGGATGTCCCCTCTACAAAGGCGAGTAATAAATATTTACTGAGAGACTTATTAAGCAAGAATGCTTAGATGTGCCACTATATATTCACTTTTGTAGTTTTAAAGCGCTTCAAAGCAGAATGAATATATTTATTTATTTACCACTGGAATGAGACGTGTATGTTCACACGTACAATAATAAAGAGAACGGATATCCTAAAGAATTCATAATGAAGCAATGATCCATGAAATAAAATGGTTAAGACATCATTTTGCGTTGTTGAAATCGCCACAGACATTCAGAAATGTCGGTTGAATTGATCTGTCAATCCACACACATTCCTTTCAGCTAAAGTGGTAATGAATCAACTTTGCAATTTAAAAATAAATTCGAGGTTTGCAGTTATCACAGTTGAAGGAGGTGACATATTAACACAGTTTTTCTGAAAAATGAAATTATTCAGACTGCAATATGTGATCTACTGAACAACATAAATGGCGATCAGGAATGCAAGCATATTCAAGGGTTGGTTTATAGGGATTTGATTGATTGGTCACCGAATTTCATCATGAGGTGATATTGGTTAGAGAACCATTGGAAAACCAACTGGGAGTACTGGATAGCCGACTGTTTCGTCCTAGTTTGGGGCTCTTCACAGTACGCACCCATCGGGGTTCGAACCCAGGACCTTCTGGTTACAAAGCAAGCTCGTAGATCATTAGCCGACTGAGACGCGATTCAATGGTCGATGAATCCTAAATTCTGTTTGGGGTTCTAGTGGGAAGTCGTGACCAGTAGGTTGGATGTGAGGACAAATGCTTACCACGGATGACATTGGCTAGCAGTAGCGCTATATCGTGAATTGGCAGAAGTTAGAATTCATGGGGAATTAGATCGGGTCCCAGTGGGTTAATGATCTACGAGGTCACTCGCCTTGTAACCAGGTCTTGGGTTCGAACCTACGTAGGTGCGTACTGATGAAGAGTCTCCAACTAGGATGAAACAATCTGATATCCAGTACTCCGTGACAGATTTTCCAGTGGTTCTCTAACCAATATCAGCTCATGATGAAATCCTGTAACCAATACAAGCATATATTCACTACGCTATGTACCACTGATTGATTGATTGATATAGGTAGCATATTTGATAGAACTAAGACAGCCGAATCAGTTAGAATGCTTGTCTATTTTGCTTTTAATTTCGAAAAAGGAAATGGCAGATAAATACGCTGGAACTACACATGACTGATGAGTTACACTCAGACTGTAGTCAAAATTCGTTTGATTTTAAATGCTTAACCACTTGTATGACGTACAAATAATTTTTCCATTTGCTGGTTTAAAAGATACCCTAAAACTTTCAGCATAGTAAGGTATCAAACACTATTCAAAAGGACGCGTTTGTATCTTTCATCATTTTGGAATTAGTATTTCACAGACGAAGTTTGGCAGCTGTTTGACTAATACCTCAGTAAATCTATTTCTTGAGTAGTCCAATTCGACAATGTTTTGAGCAAGATTAACATTTCAAAGCGATAATACTTGTTAGAGGGAATTTCATTCAGGGTATTCTATTAATAAATATATATTTAGAGAGCTGAAGTATTTCAGGTTTCCTTGAGAAATAAACATTTTGCTTATAATATTCTGTCAGTAGACGCTGATGTACACCACTTCGAAATATTTAAATATTAAAGCAATTTTACAGATAATTGATTCGATTTGATGTCTTTGACAAATTAAGACATCTAGAATAGGGTACCATGGCAACATTCAGGGAAATATCGATCAGAGGTGAGATTTGTCTCCAGAAAGTACAATGCTAGTTGCATTCGAAAAAATGACAGGCTGACAGTTACACTGTTTCATTACAATTAATCAGTATTACCTCAATGGCTTTTCCAGAATAAGAAGTAAAATGTCCCATACATACAAAAAACCGAGCTTTCCCCTTCGCAAAGTGTTTATTTGAGTTGAATGTGCTTCAGTATGGTTGAAACACTTCTTTACATCCACATAAAAATCGCATTCGTCCTGAGTATTTATTAGTATGCAAGCCATTTATCATGCCAAGGAGTGACATTCTGAGCCACCGAAGTTTCCTTTCATCACAGCTGTTCGCTCACCAAAGAAAGTTGAAAGGCATCAGACAGTCAGTAATTTTCTGAATCAGAGAATATTCCATCATGAACCAACACCAGTCAGAGATGTCTGTAAATTAGGGGGCACTAAAAAACATGCAATCATTTTATCCTTTACTAACTTAAAAATGATTTCACAGTAACTCATCAGTCATACTTGATTGCTTTACACCATCGTTCTTATCAATCATAAACTGTGCGCAAATACAAATGTGGTTATAATTAAATTACGGGCTTATGTCTGATAATTTCCAATAATTTTCGCATAAATTTTAAACCAAGAAGCAAATATGCTGCGTTATTATTAGCTTGAACTTCTTGAAGATAATAAGCCTATTAGGTATCTAGTGGGTTACAAGCCCGGGAGAAGAAAGGAGGATGGGAGACTGGGTAAACACTCTACCCCAGGAAAGGAACACGATAAATGTATCCAATAAATTTCCTAGACGCAGATGATGACCTTCACATCGACTGTAATTCCTGTTAATTCAATATTATCTTTATGAAACCAGGAAGGTCAAGAGATGAATAAGGTTCGCGAATACATTTTGTCAGAAGTGACTCCGTCCAATTAAATAGAACTTAGCCCCAATGCGCGTCTGAAACATCCTTATAGAAAAGAACATTCTCATCCTCACTTCAGTATCAAACTGTCAGCTAGGAAGAGATTTTGGGATTCCGCTTCACCAGTCCCCTAAAATGTTTCAAATGTAACTGTCATCATAGACAGGGTAATATCTAACTGTCAAGGATAACTTGTGCGACATGGAAGTGAGTACATGAGAGAGGCTGAGGAAGAAGACACATTTATGAAATATGTAGGTTTAACACATAAAGACATCAAGTAACATTTCACATTAATTTTACTGTCCGAGATGAAAGTAATTTTTTATTATGACAATAGACGGAGATAATTAATAGCCATCTCGAGCTTTCAGTATTTCACCTGATAAAAGTAAATAAACAAAACGCATAAAGATTAGCCATCAGAAATGGTTTAACATTTGCATACAAATATTTGTCAACTTTGGCCTTTGTAATTCAGTATAGTTTAAAATAATTCTCATTATACTATTATTGACGAGACCGCTTGTTGACATCGCGCGTGAAGCCCTCCAGTGGGACCCGGAAGTCAATCGGCGAGTGAGACGTCATTGTTAGGGTGACATGGAGGAGATCGTGTGGAGAGGAGTTGAAACAGTATGGACTAACATGGATGCAGGTGAAAAGCACAGCAGAAGACAGAAGCAAGTGGAGACGTGCAGTTGAAGTCCTATGTTCCACTAGGAACTCAAGGGAGCAATAATATAATAATAATATTATTATTGATTATTCGCTTGAGTTTTGAGTGGAACATAGGGCCTTTGAAAAACACAAATATGCCTTGTTTCATTCTCTGTTGTCCTTTCAGTTGGGTCCACGATCACCGATAATCTCTCATCTCTTCCTTAAACGATCTCCTCAGTGTCATCCTCGATGTGGTGATCCACTCGTCACTTACTATCTAGATTCCAATCAAGCAATGGCCTGCATTGCGCGCGATGTCACTTGATTGCCTCTTCAGTGTATGCGAAACCATTACCATTTTCTTCTACATATTTGTTGACCAATTGGCTCTTGGTAAGTTTTTAACCAGCTGCAGTTCCTTGGTGCTATTTATCTCTGGCCAGCTCGCCGACCATCTGATCTTCGATGTGAAGCCAGAGAATGTAGCTGCCGATAGAAGTCTGTAACTTGGTGAAAATCCTTTCCATGGCGCGCTCGCCAAGTTTCTAACATATACGGAAGAATAGATTGACTTTATCTGCGTTGAAAATCGGAATATTGCTCTTTTTGGTGAGTAAGTGCAGGAGCAATCCGAACTGTTTTCAGGTTGATTGCCTTTCCAATTGTGGCTGGTTTTGACATTTTAAGACGTACCCGCGTGATTGAAACCAAAATAAAAATTCAGAAGACTCACATACATTTAAAACACTTTAGGAAGGTTACTGAACTTAACAGAGGTCAGCTTCCACTGGCTAAAATATCAATCCAAAAGTTGAGATGCGTCCGTTAGAACATGTTTTGATGAATTTTCATCAAAAAACTGATGTGCATCGTTTATGACGAACAAAACAGAGTCAAAGGCAAATAATAAGCAATAAGCCAACGGGTGATAAGTAAGCATTAGAACGGTGATATGTAACCGAGCAGAAAAGAAGAAGAAATTGCAAAGTAAGTTGAACTATCCAAATAGGAATTACTGTTGCTAGTGGATCGTTCTGGAGAGATTTCTCAACCAATTATGCCATCATGTCAGCTATTTAATGAAGTGGTCGAAGTCAAAACAAGCATACTCGAAGCGTCTACTTTCTGACACAGAAAATGTCGTCTGAGATGAACAAAGAAATTCAACAGATGTTATTAAATACAAAACACGAAATGTTCATTAGATTCTGAAGATGGCAGTAACTCGGTGGGCGTGTATTGCTGAAGAGTTCCAAACTAGGACGAAAGAGCTGTCCAGTACTCCCAGGTTTTCCAATAGTTCTCTAACTAATGTCAGCTCATGATGAAATCCTGATACCAATCGAATCCCTACCAACCAACACTTGAACTCATAAATGTCTTTATCTTGGTTTATGAAATAACGATAGATGACTGCAGGTTTGACGTTCTACCGCCGATTGCAGCTGAGTGATAATTCTTGTGAATAAGGAAAATACAATTCGAAACATGCCCATAAAAATGAAATCGGAAAGAAATTACAGTACTTCGAACGACGGCTTGAGAATATCTACCTCCGGAAATTGGCGGAAATTTTAATTTGTGTGCTGATTAGGATCATTTATGATATAATTGCAATTACCGTTCAATTAAGGTCTCTCTGCAGTCAAACTTAAGCAAAGACAATTTGTCATTCTGTTTTTGCAACAGTAGAGACAATACTGTTATGATGTCGTCGCCAATATTATGGTGTGACCAAGTGTAAATATGTGCTAATGAGATATAATGGACGATAACGTACAGACTGGTATTTCTAAGCAGTTAATTTGTCCTGACGCGAAGGCGACAAATCAGAAGACCGCCACATACACGAAGATACGCGTATTTTTCAAGAATGAAAATTAACTGTCACACAAGAGTGTGAGTGGAGAAGTACGAAGGAGTACGAAGGAGTGTATTAATTGTACAATTCAAGAGCATATGGGAAATAACTAACGCACATGAACCATTAAGAGAGATATTAGTTTTTCTTACCACCACTGGATGCAGACTGGTTGCAATTTCATGTGACAAAGGTGATACATTGTTTATTTTCTTAATGGACAGACAAGATATATTGTGGGTTATGATGGAATAAACGATCAATAAACATATAGCAAAATATATCAGACTGTCATACCAAAGCAGATATCATGTCCCTACATATCAAATACATATACAGTGGCCCAGAATCTATCCTCGAGAATGTGTTGGCGGAAAGAGGTAGACAGTCAATACTGTTACCAAATCAGTCACCACAAGGACGTGGATGGATCGTAGTTATACCTTGACAGTAAAATACACTACGATGTATGTAATTGATTATTTTTGTCTAGGTATGCAAACCGGTGGTACATCGGAAGATCATTCCTTAATGATTTGTACCACAAACTCTTAATTCTCCAGTTTTTCAATTCAATTTTGAATAGTGGTCACCAGTAGAAAGTTAAACGTACAACAAAGTTCAACTTCTGTAGATTATACTGATCAACACTGAAACGCATCGTCGGTGTCATACGAATACCACTGTTATTTATACCGAGCTGAATAAGCCTTCATAAGTATCAGTAAACTTCATTCTTTCTAGTATAAATTATTGGTGATACGTGTAGACTGGTATCCTCAAGGCACAAATCAGTGTGAGCATATTATTATTATTACTAATATTACAAAAGACCGCATACTGGCGAATTCTGTTTCCAGTGGACAGTCTGAACTTTGGACTAATGCTACTTCTCTTCAAGTATGACTTTTTTTTGAATTTGAATTGTTTCTGCATTCTGAAGCAGCTGTGTACAGTGTATGATCTGTTTTCTCCTGAATACATGTATGATAAATAAATAATGCGTCAATGTATGCTTCCAATAGTGCGGTGTGTCAGAGTAGTAGACATTCGTTCTAATGACTAAGATACTTACCAGAGTTTGACAAACCGCCTATATTCTTTACTAAAAAGAAGAACAACCCAAAATTTATACAGTGAATGACAGAAAGAAACATTTTACTGGTGTATTGATTTATCTGAACATTCGTAGTGTGTTTAACTGGCGACTGACTGCATTGGAGCACTTTCTGACTCCGTCGATTATTCAACACAGTCAAATATTTCCAGTAATGTTACCAGTATAATTTTACATCCATCTCCACCAGTCTTCCTCTATTCAACGGTATTATATCACTGTACACTATTAATCGCATTGGTAGAGCTCATAACATTCCTTTGAAGTTTCCTACGTTGAGATAGAGCTCCACCAGACATCGTAGTGTTCATGTATGCTGCAAAACGTCGTCCGGTGACCAGTTGTTGCATATGAAGAGGCTTATAACTACAGACTAATTTCGCATCTCAATATAGGAGTGGACTTGTGCTGCTGTGGCGGAATGTAATTTCATATTATTGAAGCTTGTTCTATGCAACACACACTGATGCAGTAATAATAATAATAATGGTAAAGCTTTATTTAAGACAGTATGCGAATATACGGTACAAAAATTTTCGGCGTATTCAGTTCTAAAGTACTTTTTCTTCACACAGGATTCACATGTAAAGTATTACTCTGAAGTATATCTTCATTTCGTTGAAGAATTGTACAGCGTTTACTTGGGAGCAAGTTAAGTCATCGCGCATGTTTATGTATAGGTCATTTGATATAACTGGACGATTGAAACAATGATAAATCCAGATGAAATTAAGCATTTTGGAGGAAAGTAATTTCGGTAGCCAAAGGAATTAAGCACGCCGCCTGAATATCAGTATTTATATCATAATAAATACTGGACATTTTGTATGTGACTAGGCTATGAGATTAGGCTTAGCAGTTAGCGCGGAACAGTATTAACATCTTATTCGTTTCAAATATGAAAACAGCTTGAAACATCAAATTTTGAATGGATAACTTTCTCAGCGTTTACATTTCACTGTAAAAGTGGAGAGGCATGGGTGATGTTAAAACAAAGCGCAATGATGAACCCAATGACACATTGGGCTGTAAAATGAAATGAAACGCAGATGACTCATAGAAAGCACACACTTTATTCGTATTGTTCTGCACATCCCAATGACTGGATGAACACAACTCGTGTGTCAAAGCGTAACATGCCACATGTCAAATAAATTACTCTGTATTTTTATGACTTACAGAATTTCACGTCTTCACCTGAAGAAACATGTTCCTCAAAAATGTTTCTAAAATTCAAATAAAACTGTCATATAATCATTTTTTTTTAATTTTACACTGGATAGTGTCCCTAATAACATAAAAGTATATCAGCTGTTCGAGTCACCTACCATGATTACTTAGGTAACTGACTTTAGAGAATTTAGAAGAGATTATTCAAAATGTACGTAAATTTTAAGTTACGCTGGAAATCAAACACGTGTGGTCAGTGTATCGTTAGCGAAATTCTCCAGATTTCTCCCTTTGTTCTGGAATTATATGAGTCCATACAGGTTTCACATATGATCGCAGATGGAGTGCTTGGCTGGTGGAAGTTTACTCAGAATACCTAGGTTATGTCACAGAACTTCTAAAGCATTTCTGCCTTGTGAAATAGGTGTCACGATAATACTTTTACCGGATATATCTTAGAGATTTCTAAGTTCTTCAAAATATTACATTGACAAAGGACATCAAATTTACTGCGATTTGCCAAAGCGATCGCAATCAAACGATTTAAACCGAAATTCTGCATACAGAAAGAGAGTGTGATTAACCTCTCACTCCCTTGGTAACTGAATTTTGATTTTCATTACATTAATTAGTCATCTAATTCAGTGATCTCAACTCATTGAACAAATCTTAACATCATAAACTGTAATCGCTTTTGTTTCTTGAGTAGCTATGTGAACCTACAAGCCAACACTGTTCTGTGAATTAATTCTTTCTGTTTTCTGTCTTACCCCTCCAAGCCCTCTTTTCAACTTTGAAAGCGTATAAGGTGATGATGAGAACTCAAACTAAAAATTATAATGCTTTTATTTTGGATGCATCAGTTTTATAGTATTTCTTCTTTGCTACCACTTAAACATTAAAGTATGTTAGTATCATCTGTGTAACCATTGTAGTTTCAGGTAGGGTTGTGCAGCTGATGAGAATTTGTGAAATAGAATGATGATATCATTTTATACTGCAGATTTCGTCTTCCTTTCTTTATCGAAATATTGTTAGAATTTCGCGGGCATGTTGCATCATTGTGTCAGTGTCAAAATAAGGAGGATGAATGTGTGTTGAATCATAAAACCTACGTGCTCGATCACTTACAGAATGGATGTTTATATTGTTCTCCCCCTGTTCCATCTGTGAACAATGGTAGATAGACAGTTGAGAAAGCATCAGCTAGCTGTAAAACCGCAATCATTCTCAGACCAGATGCAAATGCGGTAAGAAATTGTCCACAATTCAGCCTTAAACAAACCACTCATATAAAATATTTAGTCAGAAGAATATTACTCCATATACAGTAATATGGTTTGTGATGGTTCATCTTTTAATAAATCGATAAATACCTCCAAGATTTCCCATATTTTCCACTCGGAAAATATAGGACAATTCTGAAATAGCATTTCAACAGAGTTAACTGAAAAGTGACTGAAGAGAAAGCTGGATTTCTCACAACTGTAACTTTTTAGTGATTATCGATGATGATTTTATTATTCGCCCTAATCAGTTTTTATTCACTTGAATACATGCGTTCATAATAATCTAGATAACAGCAAATCGATAACTACCATTTCTGGTTAGTAGTTAAACTGTAGGAACACAGTGTGGACAGTCAACATTCTGTTACACGTCGAAGTTTGCCGGACTATTTATATCCTTGTTGTGAAATCTTTAACATGTTCAAGTCAAGGCGTGTTTGTCGTCTTAGGCTTCAAAACTGTATAAGTAAATATCCTTTTGAGAGAACTCAAAAACAACAAAGCTATATATGAAACAATAATTGATAAGTTTTCAGTATGTATTCTTTATACTAATGAAATATTTTCAAGTACTGAAGATTGTTTCATTTGTAATTAAGGATATGCAGAATACATGTTTCAGATTAAGCGATGCATAACATATGCGAATGATAGTGTTCAGAATTTATTTCATACTGCAAGGGAACACACAACTTGGAAATTATCATGGTGTTTAGTTTCAAAATGTTTCCTCTTCACACTGGATTTACTTGTAAAGTAATAATGTGAAGTATATCAAGTTCTTTACTGCACTGTTTGTTCATATTTTCCATGTCTACTTGCGCTTTTCTAATGATATGGAATTCGAAAATGGAACTAATCACCTATTTCAAGCATATGAGTTCCATTGAACCTTCAGACAATGTATACAGATCACCTTACAAACGTTTCTACTAAATTTACTGTAATCTGCCTTCTCTACTTCATACACATTGGGAGGAGTAAATGTCTTCTAATGGATCAAAGGACCCTTACGTCGATCTTCAGAGAGCGCCTTATATTGGTGAATTCCAATGAAGTTTACCAGTATATTATTGGGAACCTATGTGTTGCCTAAATTACACAACGATGTTCTGGCGTCAGACTCAATCCCTGTCATCCCTATACTAGGAGTAGGTAGAAGCAGCCTTATTTTAAAAAAAAGCTTTCACACAAAATACATTACTCTCAGCGTGTTTCATTGCAAGGCATTCTCTCCTTTGTAGATCACACAATATAATTGATAGTTTATCGTCTGAAGCCATATTTTTCTATTCAAATCAAGCTACATAACTTCATGGTGCTCTTCATGCACTTCACTTAAAAAAGCTATGTCAGATGGTGAAAACCAGTTTAAAAATGCGTGCCATTGTGATAATCTGATGACTGAGACGATATGAATAAATCAATACTATGCCTTTTGGATGTGTTAATAGTTTGAACATTACAGAGATTTAATCAAGCCGCCTGGTTTTCATTAAATGCTATTTATATTTGTTGTCTTAGTGACAAATGAAACCCTGTTTATTGCTACTAAACAAGATGACATAACATCTAGCTAAATATAACTGTGGTTCTCTGAGGATTAAACCATAAGATTGTCTCTAGTAAAACACAGTCTACATTGAATTTCGCTTTATGCTCTACTCACATTTTAGGACTAAAATGGTAAATGAAGTTATTGCTATCAGTGATATATTGCAAACTATTCCTAACCATAATGATGACACTTAGGCAAATTAGTCCATACGAAACTCCGTTTATATCAGCAGTGCTATCATATTAACCAAATATACTCTTCTTTTGAGGATTGATAGACACATTATGTCCAAGTCCGCAAATACATTTTATCACAGTTATCCAAGAAGGACATGATTATCATTTTGAACAGCACAATGTTTGCCTATTCTCCAATGTAATTGAAAGCTTATTTCAGCTAATCAGGTGAAAGGCAGACGGACATTTCTCAATGTGAATACACTTCATCTTGAATGTTACTTTCATAAACTATATAGAAAATATTCTGGAAAGTAAATCCCTTAGGAGCTGTGTCTTCATGCTTAATTGTGGTTTGATAACTTTCTCACGTTGAGGACCGCTTGGAATGAAATATTGTGACAAATGTGAAAATGGTTGCGTGGATATTAGACAGGGAATCGTTTAAGCCTGTGTTCCTGCATAAATCCATGCAGTTTTATCTTATTCATAGATTGAGGTGTTAAGTTCTAAAGATATAACCTCCTTCAATAATAAACCTAATCTGTAAGAATTTTATTTGTTTCCATGTCAGATTTTACGTTTATCAAACAACTTATATTGCGAATATCTTTAATGCTAAATAGTCATTCACAATTTTGGAATCTATGGTTTAATTGCACTTACAGGCCAAAATCTCTAAAGCTGAAATGATCAGTTATGAAACTGTGATGAAAACATTCCAATCCGAGTTTGAAATCTGTCCTTTCGTAAGCCCACTACATAATTTGGGATCTTAGATTCATTTTGGCTTTTTAAATTCACCCGATCACCTTTCTGTCATCGAAACTGTCTATGCTAGATACAGTAATTCCGACAATCAGAGACAAATGCAAATCGAGCGTATTGTCATGGTAAAACGACATTACTCGAGTAACATGATACTCCTACTCTATCAAGTCAAAATTAACGGAATGTATTTATTACTACTGAATCTTTTTCAGTAATGTACTGCTGATAGGTAAAAATTAGTTCAAAGATGTTACATTTTTATGCTTTTTGTTCTTTCTAACGCTTTTTGACAAAATATTGACAGCCACACGAAACGTGTTTGTTCTTAGCGATGTTAAAGTGTCGATTTGTAGATAAAAGGATGCCTCTTATGTTCACATTATTTCTGCATTTATTGCATCAAATGCACTGTAATGATTCACCTTAAATAAAAATTTGACATATTTGTGTTTTGGGAATCAGCTGTCAGAACTAATAGCATGTCGTCATTACTTGTCAGTGTGTTTCACTATTACAAATGATTGGGGGGTTTCACCATGAGCTGACATCAGTCACAGAAGCATTGGACGACCTGGAAAGACTGAACCTCCCAGTACTGAAACCCTCCAACCAATCAAACACAATCCCTACAAAACCAATACTTGAATATTACAAATGAATAAAGACATTCCTTTAATACACATATAGTGATATGATACAGTGGTCGAGATTTGGGTCGAAGCACACTTCTCATCAGACACTAAGTCCCGTAGAGAGCGAAATTTCATCACAGAACATCTGTGCCATTCCAGAATCACTACCACCAATGAAACTTCAAATCTAAAGTCTGAATGAAGCTATATGGTACAATCAGAATTCTTAAGTTTTAAATACAAATAAATATGTAGTGGCTTTCAGACGATCAGTTGGTGACCAGTGATGTTGTTGTTAATGTTCACGTGGGCAAAGTGTGTAAAAATAGAAGTATAAAATCGTTGTTTCGGCACCATACAAGGCTCATAGTGATCAAATGAAATGTTCGTAAAACTGGCTATCAGACTTACCCGCTTCTTTGGATTCTTTTGTCAAAAAGATTGAAAAATTCACCACATTTAATGCATTTTTCGATCAGAAGTTGAATAATGAATAACAAGAAATTAACAATTTGCAACCAAAGTTTTTTATATGTAGTGATCACTTCTTAACAACCTTTATATAGCTATTTGTAATAAAATACATTTAACCAGCCCTGATCTGAACATATATGTACAGCTTTTGCGAACACCTTTACCCAAGGTGACTGAATTCACAAACACTTAATTACACTTAAATATTAGCGAAATTGACTGAAACTAACTTACACTGGATGGATGGAGGAATCCATCATGGGTTGATATCAGTTAGAGAATCACTGGGAAACCAACTGGAAGTACTGAACAACTGTTTTGTCCCAATTCAGGACTGTTAAACAGTACGCTCCCACAATGCCGGGTTCGAACCCGGAACCTTCTAATTACATGATGAGCTCGTGAAGCTAAAAGTTGTTAATCACTACTAAACTATGTTAACGCAGCTAAATTCACAGTCTTAAATAATCAAATAGATGTGGAATAATTACTAGACCGATGTCCTACTGGTTTTAAATGAAATTTTCAATCGAACCCGATTTATCTGCACTCATGGAGTCAAAATGGTATGCACCCATTCAAATAGGGTTTTCCGGATACACAAAGGATTTCACGTTAACAGAAAAATTTCCTATCTGTAAATGCTTAACGTAACTTTCGCGCGTCAACTAACAACAGCAAGGATTGAGGTCTAAACTTTAGACTTTTGGGAACAGAAATGGGAAGTAAAATTAACGTAAAATTATTAATGTTGTTACTTACGGCCACAAGCTATGAAATGTTTAAGTCAACTAATATAAACTTCCACCAGGAGAATATTTGTCCATTACTTTAGGGGTATGATATTCGTCAAGTTACTCTTGGATTTTAAGTGCAGCTTGGCAATGATTCAGGAAGTCTTTCCATTGAAGAACACAGAACATGTAATCCTACCCACCAATCTGTCTATGAGGGCACTACACACAGCCAATTCATAGAGTGGAGTGGATATGTAACAATTCGGTTGTAGTATTTGAGAACGTCCATTAGTCATTGATATACAGTAAAGGTGTTATTCAGTCCCAAAGTTACCCGACAATTTGTGGGCTTAATGTCAAATGTTATTAGGATGTTTCTTTCTACTTCCTGAAGTAATTTCGCTAAGCAACTATAAAGAAATGAACATTAACCAACAATGAGAATCTTTTTCAATGCAGTTTACGCATGACTTTCTGTTGACTCGTGCAACTGCATGACATAATCGATGAAGTGTAACAGATACTCATGGATTCAGACTGTTCCTTAAGTTTGTTAGATACAAGAAGCAGACAGAGTGTGTCTAGAAATGAAAATATATTTCCTGGCATAACAGTTTTCCTTATTGTGTGTTCCTCGAAACGGTTTGATAAGAAATTTATCAAACTACGTCATATTGCTTTAAATGTCTTATCATAACGTGTTCTAGCACTTGGGAATTACTGGGATTTTCCATTAAGTGATCGCACTACAATGAGTTGAAATAATCGCATATACAGACTGCGATGATAACAACATGTGTTGACTTTAGGATGACTTTATGGTTTTTAAAATTACTCGTGTAAATACTTAAACTGATGCGCCTACACTAATAGATTCTCTGATGGATATTTCGTAGTCTGTTGTCTTTCCTTTTGAAAGACTTCCAGTCTAAAGGTGGTATGAATTTGACAGCTGAGATACAAAACTATTTAACTTACTTCTCGTCCTGTTAACTTAAAAATTGAATTTTAACATCTTAGTGCATAGTGGCTGACATGATGTTCGCAATATATCAAACATCCGACAGTTATTCTTCCTCAGTAAGCGCGGATTTGCAAATATTGAAATATTTAAGGGGAATCAAATTTGTTCACACGGAATATCCTAAGATAATCAACAATCACATAGCCACAGTCTTAAAATCACATGCTGGCTACTTGTCAACATATAATACACATGGTCTAATCATAAAGACCTGGCATTTCAATACTATCATCTAGTTTGCGAATCAAGAATATGTCATGAAAAGAAAATACCTGAAGACGATTGTTACGGTTAGCTAAATACTTTTAAACTTATGGCACATAAGACAAATATATTGTTCCCTTCATAAATTCAAAACATTTGAAAATATCCTATCCAGTCTCAAGATGCTTTCAGAGGAATGAATGCTGTTTGAGGAGACAAATTATTCAAAAAATATTGTCATACGACAAAATGACTCTCTAGTGATTGCAACGTATTTACCATCGGCAGCCGGTCTTTCCATTATCAATGACAGCAGTACCAAACTCAAGAAAGAAATGAAGTGATTCCTTTTACCTGTATATTTAGTGTCTCTATCATCTGACACAACGCTACATTTTGGTCATAAATAAAATCTCTTATAACTCTAAAATTTTATGCAAAGTGTTTGCGGAAATTATCACAATTATTAACCTTTCGAACACTGAATCCAAAAAATACAATCTTATTGACAGATAATACACATAACTCACTGTTTGGATTTGTGGAATTTTTAAACATAAACACATCTATAATTGTATATATTGTTGGATTTATATGTTCAAGTTGCTCCAAGTCAGTGAGTTTATGGTTAAGATATCATTTTAGTTAACAATACTGAACTATATTGCATGTTGTCTTATTGTATAGTTGTCGTCGCTTTTTGCCCTTTTTTCTGTGAACTGTTTCCTTTGTTGATGTTGTTCTCATTGTTTGTCCGTTATTTTCTGATTTTGAGGGGAGCAACCCAAAAAGTTGCTTCTCTCTAAACTTTTACTTAATGTAATCATTCTTTTCTCAGGCGTGAGGCTAGCAACCCCACCCTGTAAACAAAATTGCTACAGAACCTTCAGCAAAATGAACCTCTTTGCACCAAAAGAAAAAGTCTGTGTAGGAACATGGAACGTCCGAACTATGTACGAGACTGGAAAAGCTGCCCAGATCGCCAACGAGATGAAAAGATACGGAATACAAGTGCTGGGAATATGTGAGAGCAGATGGAATGGGAGTGGACTCACCAAATTGTCAACAGGTGAGTCAGTGATCTACTCCGGTCACCCAGAAGATAACCACACGCACACCGAGGGCGTGGCTATCATGATGTCACCAACGGCAACGAAAGCCCTGATACAATGGGAGGCGATTTCGTCCAGGATAATGACCGCCAGGTTCAACTCCAAAGGAAGGAAAGTGTCAATCATACAATGTTATGCACCCACAAACAACGCAGACCTCGAGAAGAAAGAAGAATTCTACAGGCAACTACAGGCAACAATGGACAATACTCCAGCTGGCGACATGAAAATACTAATGGGAGACATGAACGCCAAACTGGGACCAGACAATACGGGAAGGGAACTCATCATGGGTAGAGAAGCTCTAGGAGAAATGAATGAAAACGGAGAACTCTTCGCCGACTTCTGCGCCTTCAACGAACTGGTGATTGGTGGCAGTGTATACAAGCACAAAGATATCCACAAGGCTACATGGGTGTCACCAGACGGGCAAACCAAAAACCAAATCGACTTCATCTCAATCTCAAGGAAGTGGAGGCGCAGCCTACTGGACACAAAAGCAAGAAGAGGAGCAGACGTTGGCTCAGACCACTATCTCGTACAAGGGACAATCCAAATCAAATTAAAAGCTTTCAGAGAAGGAGGAGCTGCAGATAGACCACAAGCCAAGTTCAACACTCAAAAGCTGAAGGACCAGGCTACAAAGGACATCTTCATTGCAAGCATAAAGGACAAAGCCGAGACACAAATCAACACTAGCGAAGAGGTCGGCGTTGAAAAGCACTGGAACAACTTGAAAACGGTGTGGAGCCAAACCTGCATAGAAATTCTAGGCAGAAAAAAGAGACAGGACAAACAGTGGCTCACTACGGACACTTGGAAACTAATAGAAGAGAGAAGGACAGTGAAGCAAAAGATTATCCAGTGCACCGACGAGCAACAAAAACAGGAGCTGAATGCAAGCTACAATACACTGAACAAAAGAGTGAAGAAAAGTGCCAGGGAAGACAAAAGAAAATATTATGAAACCATGGCAAACGAAGCAGAACAAGCTGCAGGCAAAGGAGACCTCGCCACACTCTACCAAACAACTAGGAACCTTTCGGGCAAACGTTCGACACAGATTAAGCCAATAAAGGACGACAATGGAAAGTCAATCACCAAAGAGGTGGAACAGAGAAAGCACTGGGTTGAACACTTCAAAAGACTTCTAAATCGTCCGCCACCTACAACACGTCCAGCAATACCAACAACGGAAGCAGAACTACCAGTGAACACTGACCCCCCGACGAAATCAGAAGTCCTGAATGCAATCAAGATGCTTAAAACTGGGAAAACACCGGGACCAGATGGAATCCCAGCAGAGGCTTTGAAAATAGACCCAGAGACAACAGCGGACTTGATGACACCACTACTGGAGAAGGTGTGGAAAGAGGGCAAAGTACCCGAGGATTGGAAGAACAGTTACTTATTCAAACTTCCAAAGAAAGGAGACTTAAGTCAATGTAAAAACTGGCGTGGAATTATGCTTCTGTCCATTCCAAGCAAGATACTAAGTCGCATCATCCTGGAGAGAATCAAACAAGCCCTAGATGAAAAACTTCGTCCGGAACAGGCTGGATTCAGGAGAAACAAATCATGTATTGATCAAATCGCCACTCTACGGATCATCATTGAACAAAGCTTGGAATGGCAGTCACCTCTCTATCTCAACTTCATCGACTTTGAAAAGGCCTTCGACAGCGTCGATCGAGAGGTCATTTGGAAACTACTTCGCTACTACGGGGTCCCATCGACAATTATACACCTCATCCAACAGTTATACGACAATGCTGCATGCCAAGTAATCCACAACGGGAAACTTACGGAAGCCTTCGAAGTGAGGACGGGAGTGAGGCAAGGCTGTCTACTATCACCAATGATCTTCCTGATTGCAATTGATTGGATAATGCGACAGACAACGGCAACCAACGAGGGAACAGGCATAAAATGGACTGACACAAAAGACTTGGAGGATCTGGATTTCGCCGATGATATATGTCTGATTTCCCATAAACTGGAAGATATGCAAATGAAAAGTAACAAGTTGGCAGAAGAAGCATCAAAGATAGGACTTCACGTGAACATAGATAAAACAGAGATGATGAAGATTCCTAGCCAACATCAACAGCAACAACAGACCACAATAAGCATAAATGGGAAGAACCTGAAAGAAACAACCTCCTTCACCTACCTGGGAAGCATCGTCTCAACTACAGGCGGAACTGACGAGGACATCAAAGCCAGAATCGGAAAAGCAAGACAAGCTTTCATTACTCTCAAATCTGTGTGGAGGTCAACAGCATTCAGCATCAAAAATAAGATCCGGATTTTCAACTCCAATGTGAAGTCAGTGCTACTATACGGATCAGAGACTTGGCGAGTCATAAAGAGCATCTCAAACAAACTTCAAACCTTCATTAACAACTGTCTCCGCTCAATACTCAAGATCAGATGGCCAGAAAAGATCAGCAACAGGGATCTCTGGGAGCGAACCAATCAGGAACCGATTGTGAAACAAATAGGCAGAAAGAAATGGAGATGGATTGGCCATACGCTGAGGAAACCATCAAGTGACATCACTAGACAAGCCCTCGAGTGGAACCCGAAAGGGAGGCGGCGAGTTGGTCGTCCAAGGGTGACTTGGAGGAGGTCATGTGAAGAGGAGATGAAAGCATGTGGGCAGACCTGGAGCAGGGTGAAAAAGTTGTCAAAAAACCGAAGTCAATGGAGGTGCGCAGCTGAAGCCCTATGTTCCTCTAGGAACTAAAGGATACAATAATAATAATAATAATAATCATCTGACACAAGTAAATATAAAACTTGTAACTTACGCAAATCAATCATTTGATCTTCTAGTAGGATAAAGTAAGTTCGAAAGGATTGTAATGAACAGCTTTCATAAGGATGTTTCAGGCTGACGAGTAATCTTCAGACAGACTATACAGTAAAGCATTCAATATGATTCTAACTAGGTGTCAGATGAAAGCAGCGTATCAGGTTATTAGTGGTAGTCAACCTTAGTGTGTCCTGTGTATTAAAGAATTCCCAAAGTTGTCGTCTGCATGATTGGATCTTTCATATCAAACACTAAGAACTCGTGAGATTTATTCACCACTATGTGTTTGTTGGAATTCTACAATTCTATTAATGTCTTGATATAATAACGATGGTTTCCATCTTTCATCAGCTACTGATTTCATTGAAACACAAGAATTCATCACAAAGCATCGGTAAACTTACCCAAATCCTTGCAGGTGTAATCAATTTCACCTTCAAAAACAGAAAGATAGCAAAATTTGGAAGGACTCCGAAAACTAGACTGCACATTGCGCATTGCATGGAACCGCTGAATATCACAGATACATAAATTCAACAGAAAACCTAATGAGGTGCATATCAGGTACATAAGTGTGATTTCCCAACCGAGGACCAACTGGGTTTCAGTCGGATTTTCCACTCTACTTCTTCTCTCATTCAATGAACTTCCTCACTTGATAATACTTCAGAAAGCACTGCACATAACAACTTCTAGTTTGAAACAAATCAGGGACACCTTACATTTTATATTATTTGGATACATCGCATTCCAGTCCACAATTAGTCATTAAACCTGCTGTTATCTGGCTAATCCTTTTTGTTAATGCTAACATTGTTCGAAGGTAAAGACAGACTACAGTTCATAATCTGAATTGAACATCTCGCGACTATACCAGATAAATCTTTGAATAATTACTAAGTTATTCCGATCCAATTCTATCAGTATTCGTGTGTTTAAAATAAGTTAAATAAAAATTGTCGAATTAGTAAGTAAGTTATTATATGTTTAAAACTTGGGCACTGGGATATGTAATTCCGTATTAGTTTTTTTATTATATCTCTCGCACAGTGAAACAGTATTATTTACTGGATGACACAGTTTCGAACACAATACATTGTTCAATATGATATCTTCAATTATAAACACACGACGTCGAAACTTCAATTTTATAGTTTTCTCTGTTCTTGTCTATCTGTCATCGTAGGGGTAGTAGGATTTTGCAGATGTAGAGGTGGACAGGTGTTGAATCATTTCTGTAATGTGTATCTTCAGTTGACTTGATAAATAAAGCTTCGTTCATCAACGCATTTACACACAATCACACAATAAGGAAGGATAAGAGAGCTTCAGAATTTAATGTGACATGGTGGAGGGAGCGATTGATAATAGGGGCTTTGTGCGTCAAATCAACTGTAAACACGTGTAATAAGAATGATTCAACACGTGTCTACCTGGAGATCTAGGGAATTCTACAACCCCTGTGACAACAAATACGGGAAAACAAAGAAAACTATAAGACTGAAGTTTCGAAGTCGTATGATTATTACTGGTGATATGATTATTATGAACAATAGTAAATTTTGTTCGAAATTCTATCCTCCAGTAAATGATACCGTTGCACTATGGGATGTATACATAATAAACAAAGTAATATGGAAGTATTTAAGTTAATCACTTAGATTACTGTGCTGAATTTTTAGACTCCCACTTCTCAAGTCGAGCTTAAATTTCGGTCAACAGTATTCTCTAAGGAAAGGATAAACAAATACACCCACAATAGGTTCAATAAGATTTCTTTAAAACAGATGCTTACCTCCTCCATGCACAACTCCACTGAAGATCAGGCACAGTGCTAATGTCAACCAGACGTGTGACATTACAAATGACTCTTTGTTTGAATGTCGCAGTATTTATGTGAGTGTTCCTACCAATAACTATAAATTTCTCACCCACAGATTTTCACCACATGACGATAAACGCCCTGTATTCATCCGCTATCCTTATCTACGTGATATTTTTCTATTCAGAAAGATATCTAAAGCACACCCGACATCTTGGTGTAGTGAAAGTACACCAAACTGAGTAGATGACTGATTTTCTATGGCTAACGATTTCTATCATGTGGAGATAATTTCACCGTATGGGATTTAAAATAAACACAACTGAGAATGGAAAGGCGTTGCCTTCCATCAAGACATGTACACACCTTTTTTAATCATTTGCAAACTATTATTTCTAAGTTGATGGGCGGTGTCCACTTCACTGATAAGACGGTTATAAGCTGGCATGATTGGTTGAAAAGTAACAGAGTTCTCAACAAAAATCACACCTCAAACCAAATAATTATTCTGAATAAATTTTATCAAAGTAACTTACCGTCAATAACGTTTCTAGAAAGCAGAAGTATTGACCGAAGAAACATCTACAGTTTAATTAGATCCTCATCTCTGGCGCCACCCTGATGCATATAGCATTTGTATAACATTACATGACAACTCTCCAATCAAGTGACACTGACATATTTGTTAGCAATAATTAGTCAATATCAGCATGTTACGGGGTTTAATGAAAAACCAAGATGAATCTTTGAAACAATTAAAGGGTGAAAGTGATTACAACATCGATAACATGTAACTAAAAATGAGACAGTTAGAAAACTAATAAAGTAAGAAGGAAAAGTATAATGTTTAAAGGTACAGGGGTGAAGTAGTCGGGTTTATACATTCATGTACCAGTGGCCAAGGTTGTGATAAAGTGGCTGTACAAATTTCTTCTCAGCAAACAGGTTGGCCTTCTTCAGGTGAATTCTGATGGCCTAAGCTGTATGAAGAAGACGAACTCGTAAAGCAAAATTAAGATTAGTGCGAATACGACAAAAAATTTTCAGCGCCGTACTAACATCAATTTTATACTAACTCTCTATAGAGTGTGCTAAAATAGAGCCACGAAAATACCTTGCTTGAACCTGTCTAATTGTACGCCCATTGTAGCTGGCTAGGAGGCTGCAGTTAAAGTGGCAGGTACGCATAAAAGAAGCAAAATTACATGGTTTGACCTTATTTCTCGAATGTAAAACAGGAGCAGTTGCCATGAGATAGCATACCTCTAGTGCATTGAAAGTTCTTTTAATGAAGTTTGCATCTTTCATTGAATCAGACATTTTTTTGGGAATATACCTGGTCGACTTCCGACGGAAACTGTGGTGACGCAGACAGTCGGCACTTTTACCAATTATTTGCTGTCGTATTTTCCACTGATTAAGCAATCAAATTGCAGTAGTTTGACGTTCATAGGTGTACGGTATATCTTTCCTAGATGTCCTCCCTTCCAAGTGGGCGGATGATTAATTGAAAGCAAACATATTTAGAAGAGATAGTATGACTCGTCAGCACATTCATTTTGGTAGCTTTGCATCTTTTCAGTATACTGACTAATCTGGAGAATAAGATGTACATGCTGACACAAAGGCATCAATGAAGAAAACGGATATCCAGACAGCTTCATAATAAAGTACATTTCCATAACAAATGAAAGCTTAATGACTGAAATTGTAGATAAGAAACCAGATTATATATCAGATCGATTGAGACAGCCTTCCCCTCAGTTAAACTGGTTCTAAACTAATTTGCAGCCTCCAAATTAATTCGTGATTCTCATTTCACACAGTTCGATGAGGTGAAATTTAGACAGAGTTTCTTCCGAAAATTGGAATTATTCAGACCCCAATATATGATCTCCTTGATGCCATAAATTCCTGTCAGAAAATCAAGCTGATTGTTTGATACCAGTGGCAGTTTTGACTCGGATAAGACAGCCGAATCACTTCGAACCACTCGAATCCACCTTTTTATTGATTTAATACTCTTATCTGCTGCCTTTTAGGAATTGAAAACAGGCTGGACAGCTCAGAATGGTGAAACTGAACACGCCTAGATAGTCACTTTGAGATTTAAAGCAAAATAATTGTTGATTGTCAGTGCCTAAGGATTTCTGTGAATTGCAAATCATTTTTTTCCATACGATATTTGAAAAACGAGGTCTTTCAAATTTCGCAAGGCGTGGTCTCTCTTGAGGACGTGTAGGTATGCTTCGTTATTTGTGAAATTGTGTTTGATATTTGAACGGTGGTGCCTACTTGACTAATATTTGAGTAAATTTGTTTCATGACCCGTCGAATTTGATAATATTCTTAGTAATAGCGAGATTAACATAAAACTTATTGTAATGTTGAATTTCAAACAGAGTATCTTGGTGGCATATACGTTTACGGAGTAGGAGAATTTTAGATTTGCTTTTGAATTAGACATTTTCCGAGGAATTATCTGTCACTAGATGCTAACATTCACTTCTCAGAAATATTTACGTCGTGAAGCATTATTATTATTGCTCCCTTGGGTTCCTATTGGAACATAATGCTTCAACTGCACGTCTCCATTTGCTTCTGTCTTCTGCTGTACTTTTCGCCTGCATCCATGTTAGTCCGTACTGTTTCAACTCCTCTTCACACGATCTCCTCCATGTCACCCTTGCACTGACGTTCCACTCGCCGCTTCCCTTTCGGGTTCCATTCGAGGGCTTGACGCGCGATGTCACCCAGCGGCCTCCTCAGCGAGTGTCCGATCCATCTCCACTTTCTCCTGCATATTTGTTGGTTGGTGATTGGTTCTTGCATTGTTTGTTCCCATAATTCCTTGTTGATGATTATTTTCAGCCCGGTCGTCTGATCTTCAGTATAGAGCGAAGACATTTGTTAATAAAGGTCTGCAACAGGCTTTTGTAAATATTCTTTGTGACCCGCCCGCCAAGTTTCTGGTCCGTATAGAAGAACTGACTGACTTTATGTTTGTATTGAAAATCCGAGCGAATTTAGTTGTTGATGCTGGCTGAGTGACGAAGATTTCCAGATTGATTTCAGGCTGATGAATGTGTTTCTCGCTTGCCTTCCCGATTCTCGCTCGATTTGACATCCTCGTCCGTTCTGACTTCCTGTAGTTGAGACAATGCTCCCTAGATCAGTGAGTGAATGAAGTGAACTCTTTCAAATCCCTCCCGTTGATGGTGATTGACTTTTTGCAATAATGGAGTCAACATATCTGCTGTCATCTCTGGGTCCGCTTCCACTGCTTCAAGGGGCATTCCATCTGGTCCGGCTGCTTTTCCAGCTTTCAGAAGCTTGATCGCACTCAAGACTTCAGCTCTCGTTGGAGGATTGGTGTCAACTTGCAGTTGTGTGCGCGATGTTGTTAAAATTTCTGGATGGGTTGCAGGTGATGGTCGGTTCAAGAGTCCTTTGAAGTGATCCACCCATTGTTTAATCTGTTTTTCTTCCCTGGTAATGGGCTTCCCTTGGCTGTCTTTTATAGGTTTCGCTTGTGTTGGTCTCTTCCCGGATAGAGATTAGGTTATCTGATATAGTGTCCTCAGGTCCCTTTTGCCAGCTGCCTTCTCAGCTTCAGTGGCCAGGTGAATTATTCGATTCGACGTTGAAGTGAATGTGGGACATCTTTAACAAGGTTTCACGATAATAATCGTAGGTACAAAAAAATTCTATCATCATCTATCTGACTGCGTTTCATCTGCCTAAGTACAATTGTGAAAGTACTCAGTCTATCTTCATTCAAACTTAATTTTACAAGAAAAATTCTTTATTTTTGTGGTCTGATAACCAGCCTTGTAGAGTCTTCCAATGATAAGTGACTAGAGGTCCTCAAAATTTGAGATACGAACGATTTGTTCCCTTATTATTATATTATTATTACTCCAATTGTCTTCTGAGTGAAACATAGATGTTTGAAGAGGAGTCATTATCGCCCTAATCTAAGATTGGCCACAAACCATCATCTGTTTATACGATCTCCTTCATGTCACCTCAGTATGCTCAAGTCATCGTGTATAAGTCAAGTTTCAGTTCAAGGTCTGCATGGCATGGGGTGTCAGTCAAGGATCTTCTCTGAGTGGGTCTGATTCGTTTCTATTTCCCTCAACACATTTGTTGTGCAATGTGCTCTTAGTTAGTCCTTGGCATGATGGTGTTCTTTTTCTCCTATCCTTCCTGGTCATCTGATTTACGGCGTAGAGTTGAGGCAGTTCTTGTTGAAAGTCTGAAGCCTGTGGAAAATGCTTTTCTTGACCTACCAAGTCTCTGATCCATACACAGGCGATGACTGACTTCATATTAGTGTTGACTATCTGAATCTTATTCTCAATTATTAATAATAAATAATAATTTTTCCTTCACGTTCCCCTGTGGAACATAGGGCTTCAAGCTAGTGGCTTGAAGTTTCTGCAGTAGTGTTTATTTTACAGGATGTGGGTGCTAGCCTCATGTCCAACCTTTCCTCTTTACCAGGATTATTCCTGGCTTAGCGAGGTAAAGGAGTGCGCCGGCCGGGAATTGATCCCCGGACCATGTGCATGGTCGGCGAGCGTGCTAACCGCTATGCCACCGACGCACCTCAATTATTATTATTCTCAATTTCAAAAACTGAGGTTTGTTTGACAGAGCAAAATATTTTGACAGATTTTTCCTCTTCGACATACTCATTTGAAATAAATAAATAATTAAGTAAACTGCATTTTGACAGAGTGAAAACTAAGAATGGAGTTTCGGGCAATATTATGTGCACTAAAATAATTTACCATATTCTCATTAGTTCTAATAAAAATTTCAAAATACTCTATTACACAGAAGACTAAAAAAAAAATATAATAATTTTTCCTTCACGTTCCCCAGTGGAACATAGGGCTTCAAGCTAGTGACCTGAAGTTTCTGTAGCAGTGTTTATTTTTATAGGATGGGGTTGCTAGCCTCATGCCCAACCTTTCCTCTTTAGCAGTCTCATTATGAGTTTAGCGAGGTAAAGGAGTGCGTCGGCCG